GGGGGGGGGGGGGAGGGGGAGGGAGGGAGGTTTCTGGCAGTTTGTTCTCACATGGGTTCTGGGTATCAAGCTTAGGTCAACAGGTTTGCATGTCAAGCACTTTTACCTACTAAGCAGTGGTTCTCAACCTTCTAACGCTTCCACCCTTTAATACAGTTCCTCATGTTATGGTGACCCCCGAACCAGAAAATGTTTTGAAGTTGCTACTGTTATGAATCGTAAAAGCCACCCACAGATTGAGAACAGATGCACTAAGTGATTTCATTGATTTTTTTTTTTTTTTTGATCATTTAGAGAAACAGTGAGACCTGGACTTAGACTTGGCGGCAGGTGGCTCAGGATGGGTTCCTGATTACTATTCTAGGTGTGATGTGGAGGCCTGAAAGAACTTTGCCAGGCTTGGGTGTGGGCTCAAGGGAGAAACTTGGGTTGATGATTTAGACTTGGGGTAACTCAGCTCACCCAATGTTGGTAGAGGGGAAAGGGCCTGCTGCTTCCCTGTGGGTTAAGCCCTGGAGGATCTTACACTGTGTGGACTGCTGGGCACGGTCTAGTCATTATGTCCCATAAGGCCACACAGGGCTTCCTGCCTGCCTAAGTTCTGTTTCACAGCGAGAACAGGCATGTGAATATGGCTCTGGATATCCAAAGATTTATTTATTTTAGATAGGATTTCATGTAACCAAGGCTAGTGTTGAACTTTGATATGTAGCTTAGGCTGGCCTTGAACTCCTGAGGCTCCTGTTTACTGAAAGCTTGGATTACATGAATGTCCTGCGTTCAACTTCGAGAAGTCTTGTATCATGATTGCTTCCATTTCTGTTGTCACGATTGGACGGTGTAGTGATTTGTGTTGACATGTCTCATTCACACTGACTTGCTTGTCTAATGCTGGAAGTGTGCCTTTTGTAGAAAGACTTATTTTTACTCATGTGTCTGGGTGCTTTGCCTATGAGTATGTGTGTGCACCACATACATGCAGGCAGGCCTCCTGGAACTGGAGTTACACACCGTTGTCAGCCACCATGGAGGTGCTGGGAACCGTCTTCGAGGGCAGCAAATGCTCTTAACTACAGAGTCACCTCTCCAGCCCCATGCTTGTTTTAAGGCCATGTCATTCATACTGGTCACATGTAAGTGGTCAAAGGCCACATGTGGTTGTCTCACTGTGACTGACAGCCAAGGCCACTGCTGTCTTTCTGGGGGGGTGAACTATCTAGGAAGGTGGAGCCTTGCCCTGCTGGAGCTCTGTCCAGCGTTTGCATGTACAGTCCTTCAGCCCTCCATGTTTCTGAGGGACATAGTGCCATGTTGCCTGACTCAGTGCATGCTTGAAACTGCAGCTAATACTGGACTGTGCTCTGGCTTTCCCAGCATATACATCTGACAGTTAAATGTATAAATTAGATACAATATAACAGGACAATGTACTATTATAAATGTCATGTGACTCTTGATTCTCTCAAAATATCTTTGGTACTGCACCAGGTGAGGTTCGCCATGGCTAAAAACACACTGTTTTTAGGGGGCCCCTATGCAGTGTGGCAGGTATCCGTTCTGTATCTTTGAACTTCTGCTTGCTTAGCGAGTTTGGATGGGAGGTATTGCTTGTGTGTGCATTTGGTTGTGTTTCTCAGCTTCCTGTTGGTCTTTGTTGTCATGTTTGATTGAAATCGTTTCCCAGGCAGAGTAAATTTGTTGTTGGTAACAAAGGACTGTGGCCAGAGGAATGACTGCTTTTAAGTCTTCAGCTTAATTATCCAGTCATTCAGTGTGTGTGGAGCCTTTTTTTGTGTCAGGGCTCCAGCAGGGCAAGGCTCCACCTTCCTAGATAGTTCACCCCCCCCCCCAGAAAGACAGCAGGGGCCTTGGCAGTCAGTCACAGTGAGACAACCACATGTGGCCTTTGACCACTTACATGTGACCAGTATGAATGACATGCTGAATTTAAAAAGTTAATTTATTTGAAGTTAAGGAAGCTTGTTATTGTATCTTTTAATGATCGTTTAATGATTTGTTTATTTTTCTTTTATGGGCATTGGTGTTTTGTCTGTATGTATGTCTGTGTGAGGGTGTCAGACCCGATGGAACTGAAGTTACAGACAGGTCTGAGCTGCCATGTAGGTGCTGGGAATTGAACCCTCATCCTCTGGAAGGGCAGCCAGTGATCTTAACCTATGAACCATCTTTCCAGCTGATTTGAATTTAAAGACTCACATTTGGTTGGGCATAGAAGCCAAACTCCTGAAAATGAGGGGCTGGGAGTTTAGGGTTGTCTTGGCTACAGGTGCCCTCCAAGTAAGTCTCCTACCTTCTCTTGGAGGCTACATAGTTATGGAGAGTCTGCCAGTAGGGGCAAGGCTCCTCCCCAATCAGTCCTGGTGCCAGCATTTACACGACCTGAGGCAGAATGACATGGGCTTTGCTTGCTGAGTGCTTGATACTTAGCCGATGTTCGGCAGCTGGTGATATTCTCCTTGTTCCTGCTGACCACCTTTTCTTTCTTTCCCCAGGCCACTGTCAAGGAAGCCCCTTAACCCATCCTCAGATCAATGTGGGCTTGAGGGACGCACATCCTCTTCCTCAAGGGGAGATCTGAGAACCTCCTTGGCACAGAGGTACAGATGTTTCCCTCACCTATCCTTATGCAGATGCTGTACCAGCTTTCTGGCAATTCCCTGGTGAGCATGGCAGGCAGGGAAAGCAACCAGAAGGATGGTGTCACTGGCGGGGTGACCTGAGAGGACAGGCAGGGTCAGTGAGTGTCGGGGACCATGCGATATTCTAGAAATATGCTCTACCCAACCACAGACTCTAAGAGCTCAGAACTGTTTTTGTCTTTTAGATATCGATGCCAGGCCTTGGTGGGGAGTGGCTCCTATTCTGTATAACAAAAGACCTGGGCCAGGGCGAGTCTGCATCCATGCTTGAGGGCTAGTAAGATGTGCTGATGTGGAGTGTCTGAGGGCTTGAGTCTCTAGGGTTAAAGGAACTATTTCCTGCCAGCCCTCTATACATGATAATGGATGTCTTCTGCCATTATAACCCTGACAATTTTGGATGGTTACTTAAGATGATGCTTCAATAAACCGTGGCCTTCAGTATTGACTGGAAGCCCTCCTGTTATGACCAGATGTCTCTGTCTCATCCTTATCGTCGTTGGATAGCTTAGGCCTTCGTTCATCCACACTCAGGGTCAGACCTGGGCCTGTCCAGAATAGATGGTCGCTGCAGCGTGGGGCTAATATAGACCAGACCACAGTAAGTTGAGTGCTAGGAAAAATGGGTTTGCTAGAAGGGGAAGTGGGGAAGAGGGAATTGGCCAGGTGAGGAGAGCTTTGAGGCAGGCTGTCTCCTGCCTGGTCTCCTGGGAAGGTACAGGGCTGTTGGTATAGATGAGAGCTCAACAGGATTAGGACCTTGTGGGGTGGATCTCTGGGCTGAGAAAAGCCAGCGGCTGGGTTTTTGTCATTGGAAGGCCTGCTTTACTGGTGACAAAGGAGGTATGAGGTACTGTTCACTTCTCACTTCCATTCCTTGGCAGGGGCCTGTGTTATGATAAAGTGCAAAGGAGACCTTGTCGGATTCCATGGCAGGTGCAGGTGACCAAGGTGAGGGACACACACGCCAGGCAGACAGAGCTTAAGTGAGAAGTTTTATTAAAAAGGGGAGGGAGAGGGAAGAAAAGAGGAAAGAGATAGAGAGACACAGAGACAGAGACAGAGAGGACGGAGAGAAGAGGGAGACGGGACATGTCATGTCAGGAAAGAGAGCAGAAACAGCTTAAGTGGGCAAGGGTCTTTCTTTTACAGGGGTCCTTTGCACCTGCATGCTGACCAGGGCACTGTCTGAGTGCATTCTGCCAGGAGACAGGGGCAGGCCAGCTAATGCCTGAATCCTTACATTCCCACCTTTATTTATTATTAAAAAGGTGGGGTGTCGAGTTCTTAAGACTACTTCCTGCTGACCTGGGGGGCATCGACCATCTTTGGGGGACCTGAGAAAGCTGGGAGGCTTCCATGTCTTGGGATAGCTGGTTGTTTCATCACAGTCCAGGCTGTATGGAACTCTCTATTGCCTCTTAGACCTGGAAAGACCTTGGCAGAGCAGAGGACAAGGTTAAGTTTAGGAAAACATTTTTTTTTTGTTTTTTTTTGATGGGAGGATGACTGTAAGATGAGGGAGGGGTTCCCTAAGGGGTCCCAAGATGAGGGAAGGAAGTCCCAGGACCAGGGAAAGGTTGAATGATATTTATCTGGAGTAAATCTGACCTGTTTGGGTGGGTTCAGTTCTGCTCCCTGGAATTTATTTACAAGAATCCTTTGGGTTTGTGAAAACATAAGTTTTAGACACATTAGCATTTCCATTGTTACTGATCTGTACTGAAATTTGCATTGTAGAAATGGCAGTATACTCATGTCAGAAATGATTTGGTTGAAAGCATTAACATTTTAAAAACTGACATATCTTTAGCACACTGAAAATCACCTTAATCCTGACCTAGCAGTTATGATCGTATAGTGATATAGTATGTGTTTAGTGCCCTGTCAGAGTTGGATTAGTAGCTTATCAGAACTTTGTTGATGAATGTTAAGGCTATGAAGAGTAGTGTAATGAGAGAGAAAATCTGGGACATGCTTTGTTCTTTTGAATATCTCAAATCACTTTATCATCACTTAAGCCTTTTTATCTCAGACCTTCATAACTTGCATTTATACACCTTATGTTAGACCTTCCCACCCAGCCTGCACTGTGGGAGGGCGAGGGGGGACCTGAACAGCTCCCTGAGTTGATTGTCCCTGTAGCTTGGCCTCACCTCATTTCCTCTTCTGCATGCTGTGTGCGTCAATCTATGCTCACACCAAAGTCCCCTTGTTATCTCCCCTGTTCCAGGCCTCACCACCTCCTGCAGGCCACAGTCCCCTCTTTGTGTTTCTGCAGCTGGCAGAGCAGCTGATGTTTTGGGGACTTTCTGTCAGGGGAGTTCATATCCAAACTGTAACCTGACCCACTGTGGGACTCTAGGCTCCAGCAGGCCACAAGAAGATGAGGGTGACCAGGGGACTTACCTGTGTGTGCCCTGTCCTGATAGTACTCGAGGGTGAAGGAGAGAGAGGGTCAAGACTGGGGTTCAGGACCCCTGTGATAGACCAGCTTGTCTTCCTGTCTCTTGAGTCTATATAGGAAGTAGTTTGTGTGTGTGTAGGGGGTGCACCTGCCCCTTAGCTCCTGCATCCTGCTAGGGTGTTTAGGTGGAAAGCTGCTCACTTGCTTCCTGGGTGTCTCGTCAGCTGAATGGTGTGTCAGGTGAGTTACGAGGAGGCTGTAAATAGCACGGCAGAATGATAAGTGGAATGAGAGACACACTTGGAGGTTGTGGCAGGGAGGCATGGAGGACCTGAGAGGAGTGTCTGTGTGTAGGGCCTGGGCTTGGCTTTCCTAGCATGTGTTCTGCAACATGTGAACACCTGGGCATATAGGAGGTAGATCTCAAAAGACACGGCCTGCCTCCATGTATCTCGTCTTTTCTGTATCCCCATCTCATTTCTCTCCTCATCCCTTTGGGCCTGTGTGGGTCTCCTTCCTTCTGTTCCCACTTCTGTTCCTGATGAGACCCTGGAAGAGTTGCTCTTCCTGCCTGGTGTGGCATGGATAGATATGTCAAGGTGGTGCCAAGCTGGGTCACCAGGAGCCAAAGCCCTTCCACTTCTCCGAGTGGGTGAAGTGGTGCTCTGGCTGGCGTCACTTAGGACTTCTCACCAGTCCTGACCTTCTAGCTCTGCCCTGCATTCCTGGCCCACACCTTCTCAGTCTGAGTCTCTCCACGGCCAGGTGACCTCTCTGTTTGTGGTCCTCTAAGACTCTTGAGATGGTCTCCAAGGTGTGGGATGCAGAGACTCACATACAGATAGAGGGACCCAGGGGTGACAGGTGCTAGGAAAGAGGGATTTTCAGGCAGGGCTTACCTTAATCTTCCCGCTACTCCCTCTTCTCTGCCATCAGTGGGTTTCAGTGTCTATGAGAAAACGCAGTCGAGTGCTTCCCAGACCCCATGAGGAAACAGAACTGCAAACAAAATCTGCTGCCTCCATAGAAGAGTTTCCCACAGGGGTAAATGAGAAAGAATGGTTTATTATTTTTTTCATTGACTAAATATTAGTAAGAATGATAACAGTGGAACTCAAGCCCCAGATATAGCCCAGGAAGGTGCCTCCTCCTGGCCACACATGTTTTACAAATTATGTCTGGTTGTCATGCAGGAGGATGTCACATGGTCACATGCAGCTCATTGTGAGTCTATCTGGTTGTTAGGGTGACTGTCTGTTAAATAATTAACCATATCCAAATTAAAAATAAACATATTTTTATGACAGAAAAATCATTTGCTGCCCAGGTGCCAGCCTGCCGGAGGGAGGCATCCACTTTCCCCAGGAGAGAGGCCTCTGGGCCTCTCCATCCATCTCCGATGGATGGCTCCCAGACCCTTGAGGAAGACAGTAGGTTGTCAAGCTGGCAAGAAGCTTATTCCGTTTTGAAAAGGTGTACATTTGTTTAGAGAGGACAGAGCCAGAGCTTAGCAACTAGAAGTTTCTAAAGACAATGCTCCAAGAAAAAGGAGTAGTTTCTTCCCTGCCTTGCATCTGGGGTTTGCATTTCTAGTCCAGGTTCTGATTTCTAGTCTGGGTAAACACCCCCAGAACAGACTCAGGAAGGTGATCTGGAGGACAACAGATTGAGGGCTGGTCTCTAGGGCTCAGAGTTGGTTTTCTAGTGAAGATAACCCAATAAAAGTACCAAGAAGTTCATGTCCTGAGCTAGCATGAAACCAGCTTTGGATTTCTATAGAGCAGCTAGCCACAAAGCCCCTGGTTGTGCTTAGGGGTATTGTTGAATGAAGCCGGACCCTAACGTTAGGAGAGACAGTCATGCCAATGTGATAGATAGCGCAAGCCCACCTGTGAGCAACAGCTCAAAGTCAGGCAGCATGTTTGGGAATACACAGGCCTGTCAGGCAGTAAAAAGTGCTGGCGGTGAGCTGGGGAATGTAGCTCAGTTAGTAGAGTGAATGTATATCATTCTGGAAGCCTTGAGTTCTTTCTCTAGCACCGCAGAAAGCCCATGGTGGCACAGGTCTGTAACCGCAGCACGAGGGACATGGAGGTCAGAGGTCATACATGACAAGCAAGGCCAGCTTGTCATGTACTCAAGACACAAGACACACTCTCCTAAATACAGGGGGATGGAAAATAAAAGTGAGGGGGGTTATGCTTGTACTCCGAGGTCCCAGGGTAACCCAGCCACTCTGCTAAGGTAACGCCTAAGCAGAAGAAGGAAGCAAGAGTAAGACAGGCAGAGATTATAGGTACCCAGGGTTGCAGAAAGAATGCCCTCAGAGCAGAGGGATTTAGATAAATTTCTTCTCTACCTGAGGGCTAGACTTTTCTATCTGAGGGTAAGTAACAAAACACACACACACACACACACACACACACACACACACACACACACCTGTTGAATACTAGTTGTCACCTGCTGTATACTCCCACGGCCTCTGGTATGGAGGGATGAGTAGAACAGAGAGGGTCAAAGCCTGGGTCATCCAAGCAACTATATGGTCTGTCTCAAGCTATACCCCAGGTATAAAGGGAAGCAGTTGGGAATGTTCAAAATACGATCATGAACTAGGGAGTGGTGAGCTAGCATGTTCTTGGTGGTGGCGGCAGCAATGGCGGTGGTGATGGTGACTTGTGAGATGTCGTGAAGGGGTTTATTCGAGGATCTTGGAAGAATGTCCCATTGACTTAGGAAATGTGGGAGAAAGTCTGACTTTGCAGATGTTGTGTTAGTGTTGCACATAGTGCTGGGATTGAATTCTAGCCTTGCACATGCTAGGCCAGCACTCAGCTGAATCACCAGTCACATCCCCAGCCCCTCCAGGAGTCTTCTTGAACAGGTCCCCACATATCTAACCTTACCTGAGGTACCTGGTTCTCAGGTGCCATGCCCCTCACGTGCCCTCTACCCATGCAGAGGGTGCAGGGCTTGAGGCTTTGTGTGGGAGTTAGGGAATTTGTATACAGTTCAGCTGTTTAGCCATCTCTGTCTCTGGGCACATCATGGCCTCTCAGGATCAGTTTCCTCTTTGTACATGAGAATCGTGCCCACTTACCTTCCATTTGCACTTTTCACCCCAGGGAGTGGATAGAACTCTGAAAAGAAGCATGGGCATGGGTGGGAGAGGGCTGGGAAAATGGATTTTGGCCATGAGCCATCAGCCATTCTTTCTCTTTTCTTCCATCTTACCCCAGGGGCAGGGTTGAGACCTCATCAGCACAGTGGGAGGCCTTCAGGGATGGAGAGCGGCCTGACTGGCAATGGCTCAGGTAAGAGAAGTCAGCCTTCCCCCTTCCAGACCCCCTGCCCTCCTTGGAACCAAATACAAGTCACCTCCTCAACCAATATCTTCTAGAATGTAGAATTTCAGTGTGGGACCAGGACTTTGAAGGTCATCCAGAGACTGAAGCAAAGATAGTAATGTTGGGAGCACAAACACAGCAAAGCCTGGCCCGTAGAGACACAGCCGGCTGGGTAAGAAGTGGGGCCTTGTTTTTAGTGCTGGGACTGGGACTTGATGCTTGGCTAGTCAGACTTGGAGAATGAGCTCTCTGGGTAGGGTGATTGGCTGAGAGAAGCTGTTGTTCATTGACCATCAATCCAGACTCCTAGAAATCCAGGGCCACTCAGAGTTCAGGGTCTCCATCATTCTGCAGGCTGCTGTGATGATGAGCAGCAGGCAGTCTGGGGTTTCCTAGAGTGGAAAATGTTCTTGCCTCGTCATATGCTCTCGATAGGAGCTCTGTGTAGGGCTGCAACAGCCCCCACCTGCCAGTGACCCTTGCAGGTCTTGGTAGCAGTTCTGTCATGGCAACAGAGAACGTTATTCTGTTATAAGAATGGGGAGCAGTACCTGTAGGCCACAGTGTTTTTTTTTTTTTTTTTTTTTTTTTTTTTTTTTTTTTTTTTTTAATCTCACCTGAGCCCAAGAGAATATGCTTCTGGGCAGGCTGAAGTTCAAGCATACTCCCTTTTTCAGCCATAGGACCTGCATGGGTCTGTGCTGGGTCCATATTCTTCTATACTCTGCAACACGTGGTTGGAGAAGAGTATAGGCCATCTTTCTGGTTGGAAGTCATGGCTAAACTTAACAAGGCATTAAATATGGGGGCTTCTGGGCTATTTTAATAGACACCGTGTCAATCAGGGATCTCTTCTCATTGAATAAACCTCAGATTCACTGCCAGATTAGATACTTGGCACCAAATCTTCCTTTGACCAGATTTCAATGCAGGTCAGGGGACAGACCTATGATCAACTCATTACATTTGGATATTCAGTTCCTGATAATATATAATTGAAGACACTGCTTGCCTTCTTAAGCATGGCTTACTAAAATGAATTCTCAAGACCAAGCACAGGACAAGATCAAAGTTTATTTAGAACTGATTTTTATTAACACTGTGCATCAGGAATCTATTGTATTTTCCCCTGAAAGAAAATGTCTTAGTTACTTTTCTGTTTCTGTGATAAAACACCATGACCAAGGCAGCTTACAAGAAAAATCATTTAATTTGGCTTATTGTTTCAGAGGATTAGTTCCATAGTGGTGGAGTGAAGGAATAGCTGAGGGCACATATCTTGATCCACAACCAACACACACACATACACACACACACACACACACAGAGAGAGAGAGAGAGAGAGAGAGAGAGAGAGAGAGAGAGAGAGAGAGAGAGAGCTCACTGGAAATGGTGTAATTCTTTCTGAAACCTCAAAGCCTGCCCGCAGTGACACACCTCCTCCAACAAGGTCACAATTCCTTCTATTAACTGGGGACCAAGTATTCAAATATATGGCCCCCTCTGGAGGCCGTTCTCATTCGACTACCACAGAATGACAATTGGCACTAAGACCTTTTCTCTTTAGTGGTTTTCTTTACAAATGTTTTTATGCTTTTTAAGGCACTCACAGTTATTTTACAATGGCTACTGTCTGTTTTTAAAAGTGATTAATTTTGTATGCTTTTGTGCCTCACAGTCTTGCGGAACCATAGTGTCTCCGTTTGTTAGTGGGTTCTCTAGCACACCTAAGTTAATAATCATAAGCACATGAGAGGTTTTCCCCCCTCTTTCCCGTGTCTTAGTGTTTTCTCTTCTATCCTTTGGCTGATTTCTCAAGGTTAAATATCAATGATAAAGAGTATTCCTATTGTGTTCTTAATACTATCTACTATCCTTTGCTGTTGCATAGAAAGCTTACTGTAGTTTTTGTCTACTTGAATTACCTTATATTCCTAGTTTGCTAATTTCTTCCCTCCCTCCTCCTGAAATGATGGTGAATTTTTTTCATATGACTTTTTCTGCATCTGAAGAGAGTGGTATAAGGTATATTTTTAAAAAATGCTGGGTAATCCCCTTGAGGCTGCTAGACAAACCCTCCACACCCAGCTGCCATTTCACTTTTAATAGGATAATATCAAGAATTGTATCAAGCCATTGTACTTTTCTGGGGAAAAATGCCAGCAAGGCTATAATATTTCTAATTCTACTGAGCTTGCTTTGCAAATGTTTGTGTTTGAGGAGCAGTAACCCTACAATTATCCCGCCTGTTCCCATTCTTGTATGCTTGTCTTACAGACCATTCCCTGTCCCCCATTCTCTCCTCTCCTTCCTCCTGCCCTCCCAGTTACTGAATAGTTCCAGAGCTGGGAATAATTATTTCTAATAAATTAACAGACATTTTTTGAGTGCTGGGTGTGTGTCTGTGAGTGTATGCTGTACACATGCAGGTTCCCACGGAGACCAGAAGAGAATATCAGATCCCGCAGAGCTGGAGTTCCAGCTGGTTGTGAGCCACCCCACTTGGGTGCTGGGAACCAAACTCGGAGCAGCACATGGTCTTAAATGCTGAGCCATCTCTCAAACCTTCCTTTGAATTTTTCATGGACTATGTTGATACAGCTATGTTGTCTATAAACCAATTTGAGCTAGAATTCAGCTTTTACATTAGTTTCTTATAGACATTTATATAATCATTTTTAACCTGTTCTTTTTTGTTTTTGTTTTTGTTTTTTAAACCACATGCATATTTTATTTATAGATGCATACATGGATAAATACTAAAACATTGAAAGCTGGGTTTAATTGGATTTTGCAGCTCAACTTTATAGTAACAGCTTTTTAACCTGTTCTTACTTGAAATCATTTTGAAATGTGTTTTTATTTTTAAAATTTGCTTCTTTTTTTAAAAAAAAACAGAGTTTCTTTAGGTAGCTTATGAAGCCCTGGTTGTCCTGAAACTTACTACGTAGGTGAAGCTGGCCTCAAACTCACAGAGCTCGGCCTGCTCCTGCCTCCCAAGTGCTGGGATTAAAGGAGTGTACTCCTATGCTAGCCCATTTTCATTTTTTTGTGTATGCATATTTTGCCTTCGTGTGTCTGTGCACCACATGCATGCAGTGCTCATAGAGGCCAGAAGAGGGCGGCATTGCGAGTGGTTTATGAGCCCTGCCTTGGGGGAACTGAACCTTGAGCCTCTGGAAGATCAACCAGTGCTCTTAACCACGGAGCCGTCTCTCCAGCCCCTTTAACCTGCTCTTGAATTCATTTTAATTGATATTTTCTTGTAATGTTATTTACTTTATATTTACAAACTTAGTGATATAAAACGATATTTTAGTGGTTTTGGAATCCTTTAGTACTCTTGTGAGTCTTGGTTTTTAACTTTATTATTGCCTTTTTTCTGCTTCTTCAAATGTGTCACCTGTGCTGATGCTGAAATCTGTTTGCAAATCTTCTTGGCTCATGACTGTTTCATACTGCCTCCTTATCGGGTGTGAGCTTCTTACTGAAATGTAACACACAGAAAGGTTAAAGCACACATTACAAGCTCCATACATTCTTTGTGACCATGAGCCCCATTAAGGGAGGACACTGACAGGACCTGAGAACCCTGCCTCTGTAATGGGCCATGATCTAACACACACAGTTTTTTCAGATTTGATGTTCATATCTGCAAATCATCTCTGTTCTCTGCCCTTTCTAAAGCAATCTGCACTATGACTTCTTACCCCCGGGAGCCTGATGTAAGGTGCGGGCTGGCAGCTGTTTCCCTGAGCTCTGCGGTAGTGTTTCTCAGCCTGTGAGTCGTCATCCCTTTGGGGATCCAATGACCTTTTCACTGGGTCTCATGTCAGATATCCTGCATATCTGATATTTACATTATGATTCTTTTTTTTTTTTTTTGGGGTTTTTCGAGACAGGGTTTCTCTGTGTGGCTTTCCTGCCTCTGCCTCCCGAGTGCTGGGATTAAAGGCGTGCGCCACCAATGCCCGGCTCTTACATTATGATTCAAAGCAGTAGCAAAATTACAGTTATGAAGTAGCAACAAATATAATTTTATGGTTTGGGCTCACCACAACATGAGGAACTGTCTTAAAGGGTCCCAGCAATAGGAAGGTTGACAACTGCTTCTCTAGTGGGTTATCTTTACTAAAAGGGCATGGAATACCTTTTTCCGTGTGAACCTTTGGGGCCTGTTGTAATTTTTAAAAAGTGTCAGTGAGAGAAAAAGACCATGCGAAAGGGGTGATAAGAAGGAGGGTGGGGGAAGACCAGCCTCTGGGACAGGAGCCTCAGGAGAGAGGAAAGAGAGGCAGAGGAAAGTGGGAGGAGGCAGGGATTTTAAAAGAGAACATAGTGAATATGCACAGATGGTGCTCTTAGTGCCTGCAGCCGAGGGCTTATCCTGTCAGAACTCCAAGGGCAGGCCAGCACAACCGGCTGGATACTAACTGGGCCTACCTCCTCATTCTTGGTTTTGTGAGAGAAAGGTGGAGGTCCTTCCAGTGGGATGTTCCTGCTCCGTGGCTACTGTATTGGAGCAGGGGTCCTGCCAGCAGAGATAAATTTAGTGTTGGTGACTCAGGGTGTGGTAGCTCTAACCACTGAGGGACTGGATACCAGTGTCCATTCTCCTAGAAAAAGAACAGCAAGTTTCAGGCTGGTAAGATGGCTCAGCAGACAGTGCTCTTTCAGGGCAACTGTTGGTCTTGGGTCAGGAAGCATCACTGCCTGGGTTCTTTAACATCTCAGCATCCGCTGGCCTTGGGTAGAGAAGGCCCGGCCGCTGATGCATGTGGGAGCCACGGCCTTGGCAAGCCAGCCATGCTTGTTTTACTCTCCTGTGGGCTTTCTCTCCCTTCACATTGTGCCTGCCCATACGGGGTTCTTCAAGCCTCCCGTTCTTTCTTATCCATGTTCTTCCCTCTGTTTAAAGCTGTTTTTTTTTTTTTCTTCACTCTTTCAGCTGTTCTATCCTTTCCCCATCCCTTTCCTCTCTGAGCTCCTTGCATCGCCCGATGGTGCCTCTGACTTCTCCCTTTGCCTCTGTAGGAGATGGACTGGTGGGAATCAAGCAGGAGAAGCCAGAGTGGCAGCTGCAGGCTGTGGTGTCTCAGGCCTCACTTCCGGAGAAGGACAAGGAAAACATATTTCTGCAGCCAGGCGGCCTCCCACCGTGCCAGACCATGGGGCGACCCTGGGCTCTGGGGTCACAGGAGGAGGTTGGGGGTGCATGGTGGGCCCCACCCCCTGAGCAGGACGCAGGACTGGAGGCTCGAGTTCCAGGGACAGCCCCAGGCCCTCTGAGCCCCGCACTTTCTGGGGGTGGGGGTCACTTTGTGTGCATGGATTGTGGGAAAAGGTTCAGCTGGTGGTCATCCCTGAAGATCCACCAGCGCACACACACGGGCGAGAAGCCTTACCTCTGCAGCAAGTGTGGCAAGAGCTTTAGCCAGAAGCCCAACCTGGAGCGCCACCAGCGCCACCACACTGGCGAGAGGCCTTTCTGCTGCCTAGAGTGCCCAAGGCGCTTCAGTCAGAAACAGCACCTGCTCAAGCACCAGAAGACACACACTCGGCCCACCACCCACCCGTGTCCAGAATGCGAGCGCTGCTTCCGGCACCAAGTGGGCCTCCGCATCCATCTGCGAGTGCATGCCCGTGACCGCCTGGGTGTCCATGTCAGCTTGCATGAGATGCTACCTTATGCTGCACGCCGCCGCCGGGCCTGTCGCTTGCGCCCTGGATCCCCACGCGGGCGCCCTGAGTGGGTGTGGCTGGGGCTCTACCAGGGCTGGTGGGGTCAGCACAAGGTACGGACAGCAGCCCACAGCCGCTTATGTCCCAGTGAGCAACGCCAATTCATCTGCAATGAGTGCGGCAAGAGCTTCACGTGGTGGTCATCACTGAATATCCATCAGCGCATCCACACAGGCGAGCGACCCTATGGGTGCCCGGAGTGCGGCCGCCGCTTCAGCCAGAAGCCCAACCTCACAAGGCACTTGCGCAACCACACTGGTGAGAGGCCGCACCCATGCTCGCACTGTGGCCGCAGCTTCCGCCAGAAGCAGCACCTGCTCAAGCACTTGCGCACGCACCTGCCTGGAGGCCAGGCTGCAAGGTGCACCAGCTGTGGACAGAACTGCCCCAGCCGTGCCGCGCTGCGGGCCCACCAGCGCATGCATGCTGCAACAGAGCTGCTGCGTTCGCGGTCTGCTGTCCAGGGTGGCGTACCCGGTTCAGAGTCGCAAGCTGAGACTGTCCAGAGTGTGGCTGTGAAGCCCCATGGTTCCCAGGGTGCCAAGAAAGTGCCATGTGGTCAGGGGTGCGAGACCCTGGCTGCATCTAGTGAGCAGCGCCAGTTCATCTGTAACGAGTGCGGCAAGAGCTTCTCGTGGTGGTCAGCGCTCACCATCCACCAGCGCATCCACACCGGCGAGCGGCCCTATGCGTGCCCAGACTGTGGCCGCTGTTTCAGCCAGAAGCCCAACCTCACACGACACCGGCGCAACCACACCGGTGAGAGACCCTACCTGTGCACTGCCTGTGGCCGTGGATTCCGTCAAAAGCAGCATCTACTGAAGCACCAGCGTGTGCATCGCGGAGCTCAGGCACCACACCCCGGCCCAGAGGAGGAAGAAGAGCCGTAGTACGTGCCAGCCTGTAGAGCTGGTGGTGGTGGGTGGTAGAAGGTGTGCCTGCAGGGTGTTACACGGGGAACAGGAGGGCCAGGAACGCTGACTCTTGATGCTCCTCAAGGTTCTGAGGCCTGAGGAAGGTATTCCAGAAGCATCTCAAGGGAAGCCCGAGAAGGGCATAGTGGGGGAGGTGAGATCAAAGCTGTCTGTGATGAGAACGAGTCCATTAGTACACCGTTCAGCGCTGGCTCCCAGCCTTAGGCACCTTGTGAGGGGCTGTGAGAAAGCCTCCTTATGTGAAATGGCCTGGAACTGATCAATGGTAGCACTGTCCCTTCACATAGGGTACAAGATTGTTAGAGGGGTGGTCCCTATGGAGAGATGGTCACAGATTCCAGGATCCCAGCAATAGGGCAAAGGCCTTGGCTAGCAGGGGGTAATTGTTTCCCCAGCACCAAGGACAGTGCCACTTGTGACACTCTGAAGGATGATCTGATTGTCTCTCTTGAGTGTCTCCCTGCTCATGGTGCTAGGCGTGGCAGACCTGGCCTTAGAACTGATAATGTGTGTGATGATTAAGGGATGGGGTACAGTCACATGGTCTCAGCCATAGCTTGGCCGCTTGGGAAAAGCGGCTGTGCAAGAGTGGGGACTCTGTTCCAAGTGTGTGACTGACTCGCAGAAAATGAAGGACTGAGTATTCCACACGGTGTTGCTGTCCTTTCTGAATTGTCCTGACTGGAGACCAGATGTATGTGCTCCCTAGGATTCCAAGGGTGTGGGCGTGGGGTTGCCGTTCATGTGTCCTCCTCGTACCTGCTGCCCAGGCTGGAGGGTAGTTTTCTGTCTCCACTCCCCTTCATGTCAGTTGCATGTTACCATATACTGATCCTCTGTATCCATCTGAGGTCCCTGCTCCTGCCCCTGTAAAGAGGGTGGCTGATGTTCTGGTGCTGCCAGAAGCCAGGGCTCCGGCTCAGGATAGCCTTGGAAGTATCTTTCCCAGAAGATGAATGCTGGGACGGGAGAGATTAGAGGTCGCAGGAAAGTGGGGCCCCGGCAGGAAAGTTCTGGAGGAGGGTGAACTACACTTGCTGGCCTCCCAGGGCCTGTATCTTCCTTCCTGAGGATGCCAAACAGTGTTGAGTTCAGCCTGGCTTTTGATCACTTGTCTAGGGACAATAGTTTAACACTTTTATTTTGGAGATGCTTTAGTGTTACAGAAGGCCATGTAAGGCTAAAGAAGGACAAACAAGAACATTGCAGCCGTTGCACCTCTCCTGAGGAGCACAGTGTCAAGCCCGGCCTGCTAGTTCTTGGTCAAGTTATTTGATCCTAAACTGGATGAAGTTCTGCACTGGGAGAGGTGTGCTGGTCAGCTCTGAAGACCACCAGGAAGCCAAACCTGCAGAGTCTTCCCACCAAGCCCACGGACGCACACTGGGATTAGCCTTTCCCCTGCCTCCCTGTAACGCCCTGCTCTTTCCTATCCATCCTGCCCGTCCCTTCCCAGGAGGTGCTCAGTGTCCTGCATCTTACCAAAACCTAGTCCTTCCATGCTTCTTCCTCTTTGTCATCTAGCAAATCCTGAATCTAGCCTGAAAAGCTTGCCTACTCCTGAAAGGCATCCAAGGGCACCACCATTTGGGGCTAAAGAGCCATTGCCTTCAGGGTAGGCCCTGCAGAAATAATGACTCCCTATAGAATCAAGTGGTACAGGAGACACTGAAGAGATTAGATATGTTCAGTCCTGCAGTGGAATGAATTCTCTCCCACAAATGGCCTGTGATTAAATTCAAATCGCGTTGGAGTGTGTGTAGGACTCAGGGTTAATGAGGCTTAATTGTAGCCCCTGCTTGTGCAGGTTGAGAATGCCTGTTCACTTTTCCTGGGTGATGAGTCTCTCAGGGTCATAGGGCAGAAGGGTCACATCCTCCAGAGGGCTAAATTACTGACTATATGCACATCGACCAGGTTGGGACTGCAGAGTATTGGCTCCTTAATGGATCTGTGTACCAGGCCTTTGCTAGTTGAGTAGAGCATGGCCTCTGCCCTTGCTGAAGGACCTCCTGGGGGATCGTTTTAATGTGTCCTGTCATTTGTCACCATCTGTATGCTCCCTCTTGAACAAATGATTTTCAGCCCTGGCCTTGTTAACAAGGCCTTCTTATTCATGATTTCATCTAATCCCCCGTGGTCAGTGACGTAGGCTAAGCAGTGGCATTGCCATTTGACATGAAGGTAAGGAAATTGGTAGCGCCACTTGTCCACCAGGTCGTGTTCTACAATGATGGCAGGTCCACACCTTCTGTCAGCCCAAGGTCTGTTGTCACAACTATTGGCTTCTCTATGGATAGCACAGCACTGTCAACTTCAGTTCTGATTCCCTTTCTTTGTAAAGTGGGTCAGAGAGTATCAAAGAGGTGGCATCAAATCAAAGGCAAGGTCATACTTGTCCTAGTGGTTTACAATGCAGGGTACTCTGCACCATTGCAGAGATTCAGAGGGTTCATGGGAGCCAGTCCACGAGAAAGGAAACAAGACCCCAAGGCTTGCTATCCTGTCCTCTGCCAGGTAAGTGAGTGCAAGCCTGCAGTGGTCCTATGGCCAAGTTTTCGAAGGCTGCATCAGTTGGGTGGGGCTGGATCCTGGAACTGTTCTCGTCTTCTGTGAGGAGTAGATGGAAGGCTAAGACAGATAGCCAAGGGTGCCTGCAGAGCAGCCGGCCATTGGTGAGCAAAAGCATCGGGTTCAACAGCAAAGGAGTCAGGATCCCTGGGAGGGTTTGACATTCTCTTCTCAGGCTCTGCCATGGGAAGCTAACTGGGGGAAGGTGGAGGGGTGGGATGCAGAGGCCCTGAGGAGCGAATGCCCAGCAGGTACACTAACTTGGAAAGAAAACAGATCCTTGCTGAGTGTGTTTGTGTGTGTGTGTGTGTGTGTGTGTGTGTGTGTGTGTGTGTGTGT